CCATTGCCAAATATAAACGAAATTTTAGACTCACTCTCTGGTTCTATCTACTTCTCACATTTAGATCTCTATCAAGGTTACTTTCAAGTACTTCTAGAAGAGAAGAGTAGAGAGTGTACTGCCTTCTCTACGAACGCAGGACAATATCAGATGAAAAGATTACCAATGGGACTTAAGACCAGCCCTAGTGCTTTCAGTCGTGTAATGTCTGTAGCTATGTCTGGACTCAATTTTGAACAGTGCTTTATTTATTTAGATGATTTAATAGTTTTTGGACGATCGTTAAATATCCATAATGAACATTTAATTAACGTTTTAGAAAGACTTAGAAAAGTAAACTTAAAACTAAACCCAGAAAAGTGTAATTTCCTACAAAAAGAAATACTTTATTTAGGTCATCTAGTAACTGCGGATGGTGTACTACCTGATAATTCAAAAATAGAGGTTTTACAAAAATATCCAGAACCAAAAAATACAGATGAGGTGAAAAGATTTGTAGCTTTTTGTAACTATTATAGAAAATTCATTAACAATTTTGTCGAAATTACAGCACCATTAAATAGATTGACTAGAAAAAATGTACCATTCATATGGACTAACGATTGTAAGGTTTCATTCGAAAAATTAAAATCAGCATTATCTACGCCTCCAGTGCTGCAATTCCCAGATTTTTCTGATAACAATGAATTTATTATACAAACTGACGCCTCAGGAATAGCTGTAGGAGCCGTTTTGTGTAATAAAAATATGAAACCAGTTGCATATGCTAGTCGACCTCTAAATAAAGCCGAAAGAAATTATCCCACGATACAAAAAGAATTAGTGGCAATAGTTTGGGCTGTAAAATATTTTAGACCGTATATTTATGGAAGGTTATTTTCAATATTGACTGACCATAAACCGTTAGTTTATCTATTTTCACTAAAAGACCCTTCAAGCAGATTATTAAAATTTAGATTAGCACTTGAAGAATATAATTTTAAAATTTTATATGTAAAAGGTAAAGATAATAGCGTAGCTGACGCTTTGTCTAGAATTTGTATAACATCAGATACATTAAAAACTATGAATGAGGAGATAATAACGGTAATGACAAGAGCACAAAGAAAATGTTTGAATGGAAAAACAGACTCACACATTTTTAGTAAATCTAACAACGTTAGGCCTGATCAACCAAGAGTAGTAGAATTACTAAAAATGCCAAATGATTCAGTAGAACTGACTTTTATCGGAAACGACCAACTAACTCGAGTTAAAACTTTGACAAAGGTATACCTAGAATATAAATGTTTTATATATGACGAAAAGAAACGCGTTATGTATATAAATCTCAACTGGAAGGCGCATTTTACGCGAGTCGAATTTGTGACTGAGTTGATGAAATTTTGTAAAAGAATTAAAGTAAATAATGAACTATGCATAGTAAAAAATGAAAGAAATAATATATTTATAAAAGATTTATTATGTGAGATAAAATCTCGAAAGGATTGGACCGGTCCACGAATATGTGTAATAAGAGGAGTTAAGAGAATTGAAAACGAAGAAGATAAACAATACATTTTAAATGACTATCATTTACTACCCACTAGTGGTCATGCAGGTGTGCGTAGGATGACAAATAATATAAAAAGGAATTTCTTTTGGTCAGGACTTGATAAAGACGTTAAAGAGTATATTAGCAAATGCTCGAAATGTCAAAAAATGAAACAAGGTAGGTATGTTAGGGAGCCTATGGAAATAACGACGACAGCAACAAATGCTTTTGATAAGATATATCTTGACATTGTAGGTCCATTAGAAAGAGATTTAGAAGATAATCGTTATATTTTGACTATTCAATGTGAGCTAACAAAATTTGTAGAGGCATATCCACTGAAAAATAAAGAAACCGAAAGTGTAGCAAAAGAATTAGTTAATAAGTTTATATTAAGGTTCGGTATACCAAATAGAATTGCAACGGATCGAGGAACAGAGTTTATTTCATCAGTAATGGAACAGGTATGTAAAATTTTAGAAATAGAAAAACTTACTTCAACTGCCTATCATCATCAATCAATAGGAGCATTAGAGAACGCTCATAAAAATTTAGGATCGTTTTTAAGAACACAATGTTATGGTCAAAAAGATACATGGAGTGAATGGCTGCCATTTTGGTGTTACAGTTTTAACAACACTGTCCATACCGAAACAAAATATACTCCATTCGAACTTGTATTCGGGAAACCCAGTAAATTACCTTGTAGGATTAGTGAATGCATCGAGCCTCTATATAACCCAGAAAGTTATCCTTTACATATGAAATATCGATTGCAAGTAGCGCAACAGGATGCTCGTAATAATTTAATATTAAGCAAAGAGAAACGTAAATTAACCTATGATAAAAATGTTAATCATATAGAGTATAAGAAAGGTCAAATGATATTAGTAAAAAACGAAACAGCTGGAAAGCTAGACACTAAGTATGATGGTCCATATATTGTTTTGGAAGATTTAGGTGTAAACGTAAAAATTTCAAAGAAAAATTGTGATGTCATTATACATAAGAATAGGACAAAATTATATGTCCAGTAAATGTAAAAAAAAAAAAAACAATATTTAACCATTTTTTTTTCTTTCTTTTTCACCCCGGAGGTGAAGTGTGTATACTTACTTATTACATAATATCTTCAATTCTACATATATACTTCTCTCTATGTTACTTTGTAAAATCATTTGATTAGTATTAAACCTACATCTATTCTGAACGGTTGTTTGATTTCCCTTCAGAAGGCCAAAGAAGAATTTCAGGTTAAAACTGGACAGTTTTGATTACAGTGTGATTAGAAACATGGTATACGAGTTTCATTTAAGATTTAAGGAAGTTCCTACTGTAAAGTCTTTAAAAATTAAACTAATGAACGCTATTGGTTTCCAAAGATGTGCAGATACATTAAGAAAAAATCTTAAAGATATGTGGTTTAGAGTTATGAAGACAGAAAATTACAGAAGTCTCCTTGCAGAAAAATCTGCCGTACGCCTAAAAAGAATTGAATATATTAAGAAAATACAGGCTTTAAGAGCTGCCGGAAAAAATATTGTGTACATGGATGAATCATATGTGTGGGAAGTATGACTTCTCACACAAAAGGCAAGTCTTGGCTTGATAAAAATAAAAAAGGGGTTAAACAACCGATTTCTAAAGATAAACGCATTATTATTATACATGCAGGTGATAAGAAAGGTTTTGTACCTGGTGCATTACTACTAGGTAAATGTTTGGATTCTGATGGTGATTATCATCAAGCAATAAACGCAGACACATATCAAACCCGACCCGACGAATGGAAGAAAGTATGTGATCATGCTATCAAGTGTGTGGATGAGTACCGGAAAGACGCCCTTATCGGACCAGAACCGTTCTGTGGCATCCCTCAAAGCCTAACCCAGCTAACCTTGAAAACGTACTGCCATTATGCAGCTATTCAACTATGGAGAAACACTCCAGGTATAAAACACTCTAAGACCCTGATTAAAACCTTCAGCAAAAAGGCGGCATCAGAGGCCGTTAAACCTAACCAAAAACAACCTTCGCACACTAGTACGAGCACTCACAGGGCATTGTGGACTGAATAGACACATGTACAACATGGGTTTCAGCGGCAGTAGAGTGTGCAGAGGATGCAAGGAGGAGGAAGAAACACCCTTGTACATTTTGACTGATTGCCCGTCACTAATGCGAAAACGATGTATCTGTCTGGGGAAGCATGTGACACACCCAGACGATATTAAAGAACTTACGGCCGAAAAAATACTACATTTTCTTGCAGAATTTTAGCTTGTAATCTTGACCGTGAACTGTAGTATGTGGAGATCACAATAGATCAGCAATGGTCGTAGTGATACTGGGCTGCATATACCCAAGATAATCTGCAACTCGAAACAATACAACAACAATACCGGAAATTTGAACCTGTTTGATAACCATTCGGATAGATTCATTTTAAACATTGGTTCCAGCAGCGACAGTAATGATTCTGAGTCTGAAATGTCGGGTATAGAAGTCATATCAAATTGTGATTAATTGATAAATTTATATTAATTGATGAATTTTGTTATTATTAAAGTTCTACTTACTGGTGTCAGAAACTTATTGAGTTAGTACAACCGATTTATCTTAATTCGTTTTTTTTAATCTGGGGTTTTCATTTTGGTATCAGCTGACCTAATCTAAATTTAAGCGAAATGATTAATTAAGTAATAACAACTCTACATGGATATCTTAAAAATATGTTCTTCTATAATAATCTATACATAGTATTAAACAAATAGTTTAATACGGTGTGACTGATTCAAGAGGACGTTTTATAATTTTATTAGTTTTATCTACAATAAATTAACAAGTAAAAACTTACAAACATCATCAATATTTTTACAAGTTTTCCATAATTTGTGATTGGCAAATTACACAAACATTCGTCTGAAAAGGTTATATTCATATAGTTGAAAGAGTTTTTAAAATCAGTACAGAGCCTATTTAATGTGAACAAGCAAATAATTAATCTAATATTAGGAATGATACGTGGGTAAAAAAAAAACTATTTAGTCCGTCGAACAGATAAAAACATATTAGATATGTATACGTCACAACTATGTAGAAAACATACAAAGGTGACGTCATGTGACATTTCAATTTAATGTATAGCCGTCGTTATTGATTATGCAAACGAAATGCGCGTTTAATATTCTTCAATAATCTACCTGACTTACAAAACAAACAATAATTGGTCACAAACCCTACTTTGAAAGTTTATTGTTAGGTCTTAACCTAATGATAGGGGTTAAAGGTGCTCATTTTTCTAAATTCATTATTTTCCTCATAAGTCCGTATAAAATAACCCTCGAAGGTGAAAACTGTATAATACTTATGTTTTAATAACAAGGTGTCATTGTGAATTTTTTCTTTAGTAAAGAAATATAAGTTGTAGACATATTACGTTTGGTGCCGTAACAGGTGTCCCGGCATGAGGCGCGCGCGTGCGCTGTGGGCGGCGGCGTGTTCGTTGGCTGCTCTGTGGCTTGCGCGTGAGGCGGCCGGAGCGGGGGGTGGATGCGGGGTGGCGGAGCTCGCCTGCCGTAGCGGCCAGTGCGTGCGACTGGACGCCTACTGCGATGGCACGCCGCACTGTCTCGACGGCAGCGACGAGCCGCCACACTGCTCCGTTTGCAACCGCACCTACTACGGCCGCGCGGGCGTCGCGTATGCGCTCGCCGTGCCCCAGGCGCCGCGCGCGCCCTTCCTCTGTCACTTGACGTTCACGGCGGGCGGTGGTGCGCACGGTGATCTGATTCAGCTCGCGTTCGACGAGTTCCGCGTAGGACGCTACGAACCAGGCGCCCTTGACGGCTGCCCCGATGGATATATGCAGCTCTCAGAACTCGGGAGACCTTTCACTGGTGGCTCCTGGTGCGGGGAGGCCAATGGCACCGCACTTTACTATAGTGAAACCGCCACAGTCACTGTCTCCGTGAAGTTGTTCCGCATGAGACTCGGCGAGACACTCGGTTTTAAGCTGCGTTACAAATTCATCTCGCAGTTAGATGCCGTAGTTAGGTATGTCCGGGTAATGATGGTACCTTGAATCAATATTTAGTGGCGTGCTCTATTGAATTTGATAATTTTACAGATTCGGGGCAATGGAAGCACCACTAGAAAGAGGCGCGGTCTCACCGGGTACTTATTGCACGAGGACATACGAAGAGTGTCACCGTAAATCGTGTCGACTGCAAAGTCCAAACTATCCTGGAATGTATCCGAGGTAATAGAATTGAGTTATAATGGATAAGATTTAAGCGCGGGTTTTATTGTTGTTTTCACTAAATTTCGTTATAATTTACGTACAGAAATGTGACATGCTACTGGAGCTTGAGACAGAAAGACATTCCTACGTGTAAACATGCCATGATCTCAGTACGTCAGGAGTATTCACACAAAATGCAAATCAAGCGTTCAATATCTATGGCGAGGTGAGTAGACAAAACAGCTTTGCTCAGATGAAATTCAAAGGTATGAAATAAAATTAATGAGTTTTATGGTTTCGTTCAGCTTGAATAAAACGGGGCGAGCAGTGCGAGCTTGGCGTGAATGTACAGGGGAGCGGGATCGACTGATTTTTTATGACGGTGCTTCAACGGATGACCCTGTGCTGGTGGAATACTGCGGTGGGGATTGGCTGCCGCGCGTGACCTCACGTGGTCCAGAGATGCTGGTGGCCTTCCACTCGTCACCGTTTAGCGCACCACTGCGGCCAGCTGCGCCAGCTGCACCCCTGCGCGGTTTTGAACTCGATGTTGATATTGTCTTTGCTGACTCTGACTCACTGGATTATGCTAGGTTAATGCTTAATTACTAGTCACGTCTATTAGTATCCTTTCAGCAAAACTTTAATTAATTGTTGTTTTAATAATTTTTATAAACATACAGAGAAGCACGTCGGTGTGAGTTTCACGTAAAGGCATCGTCATCCGAGGAGGAGACAAATACGACGACCCCGAGTGGCGGACGAGGTCGTCGTGGTCGTCTTCGCGCTCCTTCTCATACACTACCCCCCAATACCACTTGTACTTGGACATTCCACGGTCGCCCTGGTGAGTATTTTCCTCAACTTCTGCTATTTAAAATAATAGAAATAAAATAAATATATATCACTATTATCATTGATGCTTAACTATTTTATCGGGTGAATTGGGTCACACATTACCTGTAACAATAGATTAACTTTTGTACAAATAAATAACGAGCCCGATCTTTCCGCAGGTGACCTGGTATGGATATATTTTTCTAGTTTCACTCAATATTCTCTCGTGGAACCGCGACGTATAGAGAGCGGTGAAAGGGACGAGGAAAGTCTTACGACGAGAGCAACACCGCGTGCGCCTCCACCGACGGAGAGAGGATCAGAGGGTGCGTGTGCAGTGGAGTTGATGGTGTGGGATGGTGGAGGGGTCGGGGAAACGGGGGCAAGGCTACTGGGCCGATACTGTGATTCCGCACCCGCTTTGTGCGCGCGCGCAGCATTGGCTAATGCTACTCGATCACCGCGCCCTTGTGCGCCACCCGACGGTTACGTATCAGCTGCCGCTCTTATGTCTCTCGCCGCTACCACGCTTCCGGGAACAGCAACGCATCCGCTAGCGTTCTCGTTGCATTATGAGTTTGTGGATGCGAGACTGGAGGGTATGCCGCTGTCTGATGATGGAAGGCGGGCACGACCCTGGCCCCCAGAGTGCTCGAGGACATTGACAGTACCTGGTTCGTTTTCATCACCGCGAAATGCGTTGTGGTTTGGTCGTGGTGGTGCCCGTCGTTTGCGATGCATCTACAGGCTGCAGACTGAGAGCGGGCGCATTGCTCTTGAGTTAACAGCGGCGACATTTGGCCGTGAGCCTTCATGTGCCACACGCCCGGACCCCATTACCGGACAACTAGCTTGTTTTCCGGAACAAGAGGTGCGAAACGAGGAACCCGACTTCGTTGATGACATACCTGCCGACTTCGATGGAGACGATGATGCGCCTCTGCAAGTTCCTTATCTAAGAATATATGAGTCGCCGTGGCCTGGATTTAGGGTAAGCAACGACGACTTCGATTAGTATGTTTTTCTATGTATTTGTACTAAGCATTAATATATAATATTATTATGATTATATTCTGTTTCATCAATTGGAACACGTCAACCAAATTAGTTATCATGTAAAAATTGTATACGTTTGAAAAGTAGACATCAATAACAATAAAAATACACGTCACGTCCACTGATAAAGTTTATTACTTAATTATTTAATAATTGTTGTAATCGAATCATAAATCGAAAGATAGTAATCGAATCGATTGTGGTGGCAGGTACCAGTAGCCTGCATCTGTGACAACACGACTACTCCTCTGAAGCTAGTTGGAACAGGCGGGGCGTTAGAGCTAGAGTTAGTGTCACGACGTCTGGCGGCGGCTGATGATCACAGGCGGCTGCAGTTCCGTGGCGAGTGGAAACGCGCACCATCACCGCCTTGTGCCGCGCGTCGTCGACTCCCTCCACCTGGGCAGAGAGTGCATCTCAGCTACCCATATGAGTCAGTGCACTTTATATCATCCAAAATTTTATGAAATTACCATTCAGTTCATCATATTTGGACAAGGATAGGTAAAATAATTTAATGTTTTTATTGGTATATATAGAAATGAGCGGATGTCGGAGTGCGCTGAGACGCCATTTCTGTTGGCGGCTCGCGGTAATCGTTCAGTGTTTCTCCGTGTGTGGGGCGAGGACTTAACAGGTTCCGACTCACCCTGCGGCACTACTAACCGTCTGCTCGTCTACGACGCACACACCTCGAGGTCAGTGATTAAACGAAGCTGTACATAGTGGCTATTATTTCATATTTTATTTTAATGTATCTTAATACAGAGTGCGTTATATATCGTCAATAGAACATAACGTCGGCAAAAGCTTTAATCTATTGTACCATAACTTGATATAATTCAATGAGATATATGTGTTGTAGATTGATGAGGGCGGTGTGCCCAGGCGGGGAGCGGTCAATACAGATATTCAGTGAAGAGTGGTGGGGACGAGGCTCGCGGCCCGGCGCGCTGCTTGTGGTGTGGTCGGCGCGCGAGTCGCAGCATGCGCTTTTCGCCTGGATGGAGGTGTGGCGCGCTGGGCCCGCGCTGCCGCTGCAACCGCTAGCGACTGCGGACAAGTGGCCTAACGCTTCTGCTTCCTGTGCATTCCCGTGTGTATCGCTCGGGGCGTGCATGGCAGGGGCGCTTTGGTGCGACGGCGAGGTAGATTGCCCGGGAGGGGCGGACGAGGCTCACGGGTGCGGGGCCGGCGCTCGGCTTCTGGCAGCGTTGGCGGCGCCAGCAGCGGCGGGGGCTGCGGCGGCAGCAGCAGGAGCGGCGGCGCTGCTGGCGCTAGTGTGTGTGGCGGCGCTGCGCAGGAGACGAGCGCGGCGTGCAGACAAACAATTGCTCGGTGCGTTGGCCGCGGGCCGACGACTGACAGAGGAGCTCTTATACGATGCGTCGCGAACTTCCTCCATGGCGTCCTCCTGACGGCGCGAGCGCTCCGTCGAGTACATCCACGTGGACCGCGAGACCACTGTGTGACGGAGCGCTACAGCGAAGCCGGGGCGCGGGACGTCGCCCTCGCTATCTTCGACAATTGCGTTCAGTGATCATTTACGTCACCTATCACTATTGTGTTGGGCTCTGTATGATTCTATTTCGTTATAGTTAGTTCGCGGGTTGAGTCGCTCCCCCCGACGGAGGCGTCGGTCGCGCCACGGTCGATCGCACGTGACCTTATTATTTATTAGTGATATTGTAAAGTGCTCCGTCGTTCCCGATGGATCCGTGAACTCGTTTTATATGTTATCGTTGATGAACTGTCCCGTCCCTCGTTTCCACTTGAGTTATGGAACGCTAATATAAATATAAATTAAATTTACGAAACGACAAGTGTGTTTCATTTCCTGTGGTCATATTACACGATAAGATTTTATATATTGTAACATGCAAACATTTATATGAATACCTACAAAAGTTTTAAACAATAGTAGATGAACTTAATATGTATTTAAAATCGAATCATTGGGTACTAGTTGATTTAGCCTTGTTTTATAAAAAAAAAATTGCAACTAATCAGTAGACCAGGGAAAAAAATCTGAGTACCTATTCAAAAAAGTAATGTGTGTGCAAATCAGCCATTAACAAACTGAAACAAAGGGAAATTATTTAATTTCTTTATATAGAATTATTTTAACTTTTATTCAATTTTATTTTCCGTTTCATCATTTTGTTTCATTCTGTAATCTCGTTACATTTTATTGCGTTTCGTTTCATTTGACGTCCATAATTATTTCCAAATACATATTTTTTATTTACATTATACAAAAATCAGGCAGTTTTTTTTTGTTAGATCTGCGATATGACTTAATATCGCTTCTCAATATAAACTTAACTACTTGAATTTTGCCTTTGTACTATCTACCTGAAGTTTAATATTATTATATATCTATCACCATTGATTTGTGAGGAAGACATTAATAATATTCAACTTCAGGTAGATAGTGAAGATTCTATTAAGATGTAATTATTACGTACACATTAGCAGAATTGCACTACTGGTACCAAATGTCAACAGCCCTGCGATTCTGAAAAATCCAGACCCGAATTCGAATTTACTCATGTGTCCGAATGACGTCATTTAGTGTAGAAATTCTATTGATTCCATTTTTTTTGTATAAAATTACAAAACAAAATTAATTGAATACACGTGTCTCAGATATTCTATTCCTTTATTATTTTGAAACTCACTTCACTTATGTCACGAAACGTTATGACCAATTCAAGGTGGAGCCTCTTTTTGAAGTGAATTTAGACACCTGAGAGAATTCGAATTCGGGTTTGGAGTTTTACTGAATCGCAGGGCAGATAAGTGCGCAATTTTTCAGTACCGTACAGCTTGTCTAGTTGTATAAAAGCACAGTCTTTGTCTATACTTATATTATAAAGAGGAAATATTTGATTGTTCCTTTATTTATTTGCATCGAATTAGATCCGAAACAGCAGGAAATATTAAAAAAAAGAATACCTACGGGTTACATAATACGGGATTGACATAAAATAAATTAATACATATTAGACAATATCCCATTCCAAGATGAGTAGTTAAAGCCCCCATATTATGGAGCATTTGAGACAACAAAGGGATCATAACACCCAGACCCGAGACAATATAGGAAAGTTCTTTACCTACATTGACCCGATCGGGAACCGGGCGTGCGAAGTCGCGGGAAAACAGCTGGTGTTAAAAATATACCCATCAACTTTCAAATTAGTTCACATTAAGATCGCTTCCTATAATTAAATGAAATATTATGATTTCGTTTGCAATCACAAAAATTTGGACATATTAATTTTTTTAAATCAAAATAACTAAATTATCTTGTTGGTGTAGCAAGACAGTCACGACAAGGGATATACTGTACGTATTTTAGAAGATTTTTTTCAAAGAGCCCGCATAACTTATTTACTTACTACATATGCTATAAGGGAAAAAAGACTTTAACAGGTGTAGATAAGATGAAATTTTGCATGGAAGGTGTTGAGAGAAAAACTAATAAAAGTTGCCGAGAGATATTGGGCAGCATCCAATATTCGCGTCTGTGCTGGGGAAGTTGTAATGCTTGAAAACAAGCTGTTGGTTCAAACTAACTTGCAGGAACTGATAACGTGCAGAAGAGTTGAGAAAAAAATTATATCAACATCGATATTTACATTATTAAGCTCAAGAGATTGTTTGTGGGTTGGACGCGCTAATCTCAGTAAGTAATGGGTCGAATTGAAAAATTATTTATATGTTGGTTCGTTATTGAGGAAGGCTATATAACATCCCGCTATGTCTGATAGAAGTGGAGCAGTAATAAAAAAAAATCTTGCAAAAACCAGAAACTACAGAGCAGATTCTCGGAAATTCTCTCATTATTGTTCTTTAAAATAATTAAATCTGATTATATATATATTTTTTAAATCGGTGTCATTACAGTCTGCTACGATATCAGATTCTATATGGACTTTAATATTAAAAATATCAGTCAACGCTCATTATTTTTGAAGAATAATAGAGATGGATAAGTACGAGTGTATTAAATCGGAAGTTATACATTTTCGAGACAATATTATGTTTAAATATTATAGGTGTAGTAATTGGCTTCGCTCAAAATTACAGAATTTATTAGCATCGTTGTGTGATTAAGAACACTTTCATTAATCGATAGAACCCGAATGCGGGGTGCGGAAGATCTATATATCGCTTACAATAGAAATATTATTATTGCATGCGGGGCAGTGGCGGACTAAGGGATGAGAGGGCGAGGGGGCGGTCCGCCTCGGGCTCCAAATGGGCTGACAGTCATCCGACAAAATCATAATTATATAATAAGGTTAAAATGTATGCGTGTGTTTGTAAACGCAAGATCAAGTTTCTGCTCGGGTTGGAAAAATTTATCACACACACACGTAGGAATACTCGCAGGTTGAAGCAACATTAAGACCATTTTCGTTAGTCACTGTGTATTGACCAACGAAAATGGTCTTAATGTTGCTTCATATTATACGTACTTGTGGAGGGAAAAAGGTGAGTAAAATTTTTTTTCGGGTTCCGCACACAAAGGATAAAACGAGGCTATATTACTAAGACTCTGTTCTCCGTTCGTCTATCACCAGGCTGCATCTCATGAACCGTGATAGCGGGGCAGTTGAAATTTTTCACACATGTGTATTTTATTTATGTTGCCGCTATAACAACAAATACTTAAACAGAAAAAAATAAATGCTTAAAGCGGGTACCCATACAACCAACGCAAGGGATAACTATTAATATTTATATTTTCGTATCATACTTAATACTATCATTCATCAATTTGCATTAAGTATCCGAGTCAATGAAGGTACTACAACTCCCAGACCCGAGAGAATAGAGAAAAGTGCATTTTCTATATTGACACCACCGGGAATTGAACCCGGGACCTCAAAGATGGCGACACCTTGAAACCGGCGTGCGAACCACTCGGCTACGGAGGTCGTGATCATCGAAGGACGCATAACCGAAAGTTCCACTTCCAAGTAAAGTTAAACGTACACAGAACGAGCTCAGGGGTCGAATCTAGGGCGATAGGGGGCGCCAAAAATTATAATATAGGAATGAGCTTCACAAAGATATATTTTAAAATTCATATACATTATAGACTACGATAGAACGAACATGTTTTCAAAATCCCTAAATGAAATAAAGTTGTACACTGTAAATAGGGTTATATTAAATCCTAATAAGACGAAAGGCCCAATATCAAGTTTCTGCCCCGGTTAGAAGAAATCGTAGATCCGGGCCTAAACGAGCTCTCCTATGAGACCTCTTTGAAAGCTCTCAGACAATAAAGTGTGTATTGACTCGTTATCCTACCTAACTCATAAAAGTGGACTAGAGGAATAGGTTTTGTATTACCTTTCTTTTAATGGGACGTCACTATTTTAGAAATAAATGAAACTAACAGAAACTAAAGTCGAAGCCCTCAAACTCAAAGTTACTTCGATGACGTAACTTAGAGCTATTTTTATTTCTGCACTTGAAAAGGAAAAACAAATCCCTTTATAAATATAGTAATTCTAGGGTAAATCTGACAAACTAATATGTAACTTAAATATCTTAGTTTGAAACAGGGGCTATTGAGGGGTAAATTTGGAAATATAAAAACAAATAGAAATAGAAATAGAAATAGAAAACGTTTATTTGGTATAAAATATAAAGTAACACAATATTACATAGCAAAAATCAAAAAAACTAAATTATACCAAACGGGCCTCTGCTCAGTATGAGCCGAAGCAACGTTTGCTACGGCACTGATTTTCAGCAGATGCCCCGAGACTTTAGGTTAACATTAATAATTAGTAATACCAATATTAGTTACTCCATTACAATTACTATTTAATTAAAACTACAATTAAAATAACATTTCAGTATACAAATTCACACGAATTTATAGCATTGGGTTAGAAATGGCATCAGGCTGCGGCACTTCAGAGAAAGCAATCACTACTGTGTAACATTTGACATACTCTTTTGTGTAACCAATAAATGACTCTTGTATTTTAACTTAAAATTGTAACCGGACACGGAGTTCCTTATTGGTGGAGGGATATTGTTCCAGCACTTCGTAGCTGAATACCTAAAGCTACCCCGAAATGCACTGGTCCTATATGCATTGTATTTCATGCGTGAAGCAATTCGTGTTTGACGTTCCGAGAACCTTAATTTTTCATACAAATAAGTGGGACACTTGTCTTTAATCACACCGAATAATAAACAAGCAAAGTGCAGTTTCCTACGGTTCTCCATGTTCAACATATCACTTCTGTTTAGATACGGAGTCACATGAGCGTAACGAGGAATGGGAAAACAGTATCTTGCACAAGCATTCTGTACTCTCTGTATGAGCTTTTTTGATCTAGCTAGAAGACATCCCCCAATGACTGTGTCTGCGTAATTTAATTTCGACAATATAAGCGTCTCACAGAGACGTATTCGTAGTTCTACGCTTAAATACTTCTGTATTTGGTAGAGGATCTTTAGCCTGTAGAAACACTGCCTGACCGTATCCGCAACGTGTTTCTCAAATCTCATATCACAATCAAACAGTACTCCCAAATTTCTAGCCTCAGTCACTTGATCAATTACATTGCCTCTAACTGTTAACACAGGTTTATAGGTATTAATGCAATTCGTTTGCGTCCGAGTGCCAGAAACAAGCAATTTTGTTTTCGCTGGGTTTAGCAACAGACCGTTCATTTCCGACCACTCAGCTATACGAGCCAGATCCTCATTAAATTCATTGGCCGCTAGAACCGTGTCAGCGGGTCGAAATGATTTGTAAACCTGTAGGTCATCAGCGTACAGGTGATGCTCAC